GCTTTTAAAGTCAAACGTGCGAAAAGGTCTTGCTTTGTTTGATTATGTCAAAGCACGCTAGAGCTATCTGCCTCGTGTAAAAAGGGAAAAGACACAATACATATACGTCAAGATTTGGATTATCTTGTGACTGGTGTTATAATTTTCTTCGTTTTGTAAAATAATATGAATATATGTAATTTTTTCTAAAATTCTAAAAATACATGACTTATATTAACTACGACAGCAAAAGTTAGAAAAACCACCTGATTTTCATTTCACATGAAATTCTTAGAATCACACGCAGAAGTCTTTGAACATAATGCTTAGTTTTATAGGGACGTTTTTCGTCGTGGAAATCTATGATAAGGGGTCTAGCTTATGATTAAATTTCATATGGAGATAGTCGTGAGAAATTTCGAAAAGCTACTCTGAGGAATAAGTCTTGGTACTTTAAAAAAGTTTACTTGTTTGGATTTTAAGTATCCAAATAATTTTAACCATAAAGTTTAGGGTCATAATTTATAGAAATAAAATTAAATAATAATAATAATAAAATAAAATCTGAAGGCTTTCAGATTTTATATTACGGCCAAAGGGGCGTTTTTTTTAAACGTTTGTGTGTTACGTCAGTTTATTAAATATCATCTTACCATCACTTAAACCATGAAATTCATTTCAACAGCAATATTACAAAATATTTAAAAACAGTATATCTTTAGAATATTGGATACAGAGTCTTGCGCGCTGGAGATAAAATGTTTTTTTATTTCCCATATAGTGTTGCCATTGCTCGCTTTGAAATCATTGAGTTTTTTAATCAAAAATTCGTTAAAATTTTACAAAATATGAAATAGATAATAAAACAAATTTCAAATTTGGGCTTCCAAATGCCCATATTCGAATGAAGGACTATGTTATACAAAATTTGATGTCTCTGGGTACCGTTGTTTTTAACAATGCGAGAAACGTACATACATTCATGCAGATTCTTCATTATTTAATTTCTTTAAATATAATGCAGGGCTCTAATATTTGGTATCAACAATTTAAAAAGTGAAATGCCGTTTTACTGTGAACGACGAAAAATGCCAAAAGGAAATTAATAGCCGTTCTGGGCAAATGACCCTTTGGGCTAAAAATTCCATTTCGTTCATAAAGGTATCAGATTATTTTACTATAAGTCTTCTTAAATTAAAAAATACCCTATCTTGATATCAGCTTATAATTGAATATCCAGTCAATTTTTAGATGAAATTCTCTAAATATTCATGAAAATTTATTATAACTAAAATTTAACATTTCTAAAATAACGATTTTGTAAAAGGCATTCCTCTTTATGCTATTATGGTGCAACGGTTCAGCATATATAGCAAGTTATTGGAAGGTCATGTTTATGATTCTAGGCAAGAACGCTGTGAATTTTTATTGGAAGAATCATAGCATTTGTTTCACTTTCTATGAATCGTCGCTTCAAGATTCCCTTTCAATTGCAATCGATTCATTTCCAAAAAATTAATTTTAAAATAAAAAACAACGATTTTTTTTTAAAGATAAGATATTAGAAACAGAATGGTAGTTACAGATTTTAATCTAAGGTAAATCTGAGCATCGCGTACATTAAATATTTCGTGAAAGCATTTTTCTCACTAATCGTAAATTTTAGATTTTCTCCTCTCTCATTTCAATCCCGCGAACGGGCTGGCTGCATGGGCGTTTTCGTGGTTTTCCCCATGTGTAACGAGTATACGAGACAGTTTCCCTTAGAAAGTCCTCCATAAAGGCATCCCTCCCCTTAGGCAGATAGCCCTCGTGTGCTTTGCCATAATTAAATACACCAACACCAACACCTCTCTCATTTCTTAACTTAGGTAAATTCTCGGCATTATTCTGATTAGACCAATGCTGGCATAAAATGTATACGAATGTTTTGCAAAAAAATCGTCTCATTTACAGTAAGCTTCCGAGAAACTAGAAAAAAACTTCTAGCTAAATTCTTTCTAAGGTATATCATGTATGGAAAGCTTCTAAAGTTATTGAAATATTGCGTGAACGTGAATCACATGATTTTTCGAAAAATCACTTAATGAGTTTCTTCATTTTTCAGGAAAACGTGGAAGGTTTATAAAAAAATCGTTGATTGTTATCTTTCGCCTTTAGTTTTCTATGATTTGGAACGTAAATGGCTTTTAAAACATGCCTTTTAAATTTTAAAATATATCTGTGAGAGAATGTCGAAGCTGTTTTTGAGATCACTCATTATAGCGACCATACCATTACAAACAAGAATCCAAAAAGTTTCCAACTCATGAAAGTATATTAAACCAATAATCTAAATGGCGATCATTCGTTATAACGTGTTCTTTTCTCATGGCGGGAAGAATTGTTATGAAAGGAATATACTGTATAACTGCATATTACAAAACAATTTTAAAATTATTTACATAAATTATTAATTACCTCAATGATATCGAGCAAAATTTCATTAGGAGTTAAAAAAGCTTTGTTGTTAGATAAAGAACTTAAATATTTTTTTCTTACAAATGGTATATACAAAAATTAATATTGAAATTAAATGTACATAAAAAAAGTTGCAAACTAGTCATATCCTCTGAAAGCTGAGTAGAGGGGAAGAACTCATAAGAGGCAAAAGTAGGACTTTTAAATAAAAAGAACATAAGAAGAGGAATTTAAAATTTATTTAAAAATTATATTCAGTATTAAGCCTCTACAATCGGAGCTATGTAAATAATTTAATTACTAATTAAACTTTTGAAACAAAAAACGGGTGTGTAGTCAACAATATTCAGGTGGATGAATAGATCACCTATCCTTAGATAAAGTTAACATATTTCTTTTCGTTTTCTCGAAAACATTTTACACGGGGCGGTAATACAAAAAAACTTTGCCATTTAAGGGTATTTGTTCTTGACGCCCTTCGTTTTTGTCACCCTTATCACTAGTTCTCTTCCGGATATTTAGAACTTGCTTTTAAAATAAGCCTGGTTTCTAGTTTTCTAGTTTGCCACCAGTGCAGATTATCACTGTTATCATTAATGAGTCTTTATCACTAATGACTTGAAAATGCTTGTCTTGCAGGGAATATTTAGAAACAAAGATATGCAGCCCTGTTACCCTTTATACTCAAATTTATTTTCATATGATAAAATTTCTTTTTTCTTTTTTTAATGACTTTATAAACCAACCAATTTCTTTTTCTAAATTTAAAGTTTTTTTTTTTTTTTTTTTTTTTTTTTTTTTGACGTTTAAAAATTTTGACAGCCCTAAATTCTAATAAATTTTGTTGCTTGATGATTACCTAAATTCTAATAAATTTTATTTCTTGATGATTACCTAAATTCTAAATATTTTGCTGCTCGTTGATTACCTAAATTCTAATAATTTTGCCTTTCTTGGATTTTGTCGCTTTGTGCCAGTCGCAGGAAACTCTGGCGTGCTTTTTTGTATATATTACCTTCCACATAGAGAACAAAATCTATCAGCCAGGGAAACCAGGTTTGCAAGATTCTCTCTATATATTCTTGTTTTTAATTTTACTTAAACGATATTATCCTTTTTTTAATATCTCGATATTTTCTGTTTATACCATTCTACGTTCATAAGCGAAATTTAGAAACAGATAAGTTTTTAAAAATTGTTCTTAGCCGGTTTATTAAAACAAAGATTTAAATACATTTTGTTTTTGAGTTGATTATATTATTTTAAGTTACAGATAAGATTATTTTTATTTAAGAAGAGAAGCGAAATATTTGAATGGTTATTAAAATTTAAAAAATTTTCATTTAAAAGCAAATTTAACATTTTTTAACGATAACTTCTCTTTTGAGGTGTTCTTCAGACTGCAAGTTTTTAAATGTTTCATTTCATTGCTTTTTTTGGAACTTTTCTTGCATGTGAACACAATAAATTACAATTACATACTGGTAGTTCGGAATTCTTAAAGTGTACTACTTTCTCACTTCATTCTCGCATTAAGTTCCCGTTTTAATGGGGGGGGGGATAATAATAATAAAGACTTTGTTTTTCCTTTTGCCATTGTATGATTTTAAATAACACCTCATCTACAGTTTATATTATTCATCATATTTGAGAATTAAATTTTGCCACCTTTATATGCTTTTATAAGTACTGGGTATATTCCGGATAGTTAATACATTTTAGCTTCCCACTACAAATTTTGATACTTATCATGTAAAAATATAAGGGCATGATTTATAAATTCATATAAAGTTAAAAATAAATGCGAACTTTTTTATTTCCAGTTGGCAGTTTAGATATTTTCGAACTTTTTGCTTGGGAATAAATTTTTTCTGCATCCAGTCATATTGCGCATAAAATTGTAATATAATACATTAAGTACCATTTGTATACGAATAGACATAACATTTTGTCCACATGGATCTTATGCATCCACATGAATACAAACTGATTATGGTCTAAAAAACAGATATAAATGTAATATTATATTTTATAAATATATTACATGACATTAAGCAACATTTATGACATATTACAAAAAAGAATAATAGAGTCAAAAACAACAACTTTTTTTTTAATACGGTGGCGCTTAAAATGCGATTATACATTATTTATTTCACGATATGATTACGTATTATTGGTAAATATGGCATTTAACATTTACGATAACCTATAAGAAATTCCTGTACTTTCTGACTATGATTCATTTTTATGATATGAAATACCATGATTAGATAACTTTGTGACATGGTCGCATTGCTGATAAGCAATAAGAAGCAAAAGTTGCAATTGAATAGTTTAACTATTCACTTACTAGATCCTCACATTTTTTTAATTAGGAAATGTTATTTTATGAGTGCAGAAATAAATAAATAACTCTTAGCATAAAAATTGTCCAGAGCGAAATATGACAGTTAGCTGAGACAGAGAGAGTGAGAGAGAAAGAAAACTAAGAGTTTTTAATCACTTGTAACAATTTTTTAAATCAGTCCAAATGAAAAGAAAAGTAATTATGCCCATCATCAAGAAACCCTCCCAGATTTTAGCTTTATCCATTAGATACAAATTACCGAACGTAAAAGTGCCAGAATTTTCTTCATTAAATAAATAAAAGTATTAATAATAATAAAAGAAATGAATTCAATAAGTCTGCATCAGCATCTCTGCACAATAATGCGCCTTTCCGTTCCTCCTTCTCATCTAAGGCGCAAGGTACGGGCGCGCAGAGACACTATACCCCTGGGGGAGTAGCGAGCAGAGACTGCTTGAATGACGTCTTTGTCATTAATCAGTTAGTACCAAATGGCCGAGTGCTCACACCATCGGTGTATATACCTCTGAATGTCTGTGGACGACCGATTCCGCTGCGATCCGCCGGTTACCATGCCAACAGCGCTACACCACCGCTGCCGCATAGCATGATTACCCGGTATTACTACGAACGGAATACCATAGTATATTCCAGTCAGCGAACCCCCCTTACCTCATCCAATCATCGAAAGCAAAGATGTTTACAATAAACAATTGTTTACTTCGCCCGTGCTACTTTTAGCGAAAACCCCGTGCACACCGAATCGTGTGTGTGTGTATGTGTGTGCGTGTGACGAGACGAAGTAGAGAGGGAGAAAGAGGGAACGCCATGTTGTATAAAATTGTTTGAGTTAGTCTGATGTGACGAGAGGGCCGAAGTCAGCTGATACGGAAGTAAACAATTTCGGATTTTCGATTTTCCATCGGGTGTGAAAATGTATTGGAATCGTAACATTTAGATCTTTTACAAAAAAGGATTATGTGTTTTTTAAAATCGCCGATCAATTCGCAAGAATATCGCCAACTCGATCGGAAGACTCTTGTGTAATTAGTCCCCAGTGCATAATCGAGCTGTGGCGGTAGCAGCTCGAGTTCGGAGAGAAAAACAAGCGGAGACACAAAACGTCGCGATTGTTACCTGACCTTCGCTCAGCTTTCCTTGGCTTTTTTTCTCAAATCATCAACGCTGGGCTATCATACAGTCTTCAGAGAAGAAATAGGATATTTCAGAAGGTAAGCGATCGCTCTTATTTTCTTATCTCGAGAAATCATAACGATACTGGCCGCGAAAGGTGAGGGAAGCCAGTAGTAGAAGTCAGCCGTTTGCTAATGTGGCGCCAGCAGCGATAGCTATTCTACGTCCCGTGGCGATTTTTACTATGGCGGTTGCGCGAGCACTGATCCTAACCCTAGCAGCTGAATGTAGTATGGTGACGTTCAATGTTTGGCGAATGGGAGCTCTGCTAGACGGAAACTACCCTACACAGTGCTTCGTTTGATGGACAGCTAGACTAAAAACTTCTTAACACACATTATTTGAACTGCCGCTTTCAGTTTCAATTTAGTTTTAATGCTTCCGCAGTGATTAAAATCTTTATTTCATAACGCCAGAACTGCAGAGAGTTGGCTGAATGAATCAAAATAAAATCATGACCATTTAGATTAATTTTTCTCAGTGTTACACTTATATTAACTTCACTAAATTATGAATATCTTCCTATGAATACAAATAAATTAAAAAATTTGAACAATAAACTTTAAAAAAATATCATACTTCACTGATTTCCATATGCAACAAATACTTGTATGTAATGTTGGGAGATTTATAGCGTCGTTATCAGTATGTAGTTATTAATTAATGTAAAAAATATTTGATAAAACAAAATGAGGCATATTGTTTTAAAATTATTGAAAACTATTTAAAATATAGTGTGTTAATGATATGGGATTAAGTGTCGTAATGCGTAAGAAAAACTGACTTTACATTATGATTAGTAAGATTAATTAAGAATTTTGTATGTACATTTTTAGTTATTGTTTCAGCTGTGAATTTTATGTTAGTGTTCGATCAATTAATACCTTGTTATATATGGACACGAAATTTATCCATTCGTATTTGTACTAGGCCTAAACCTGAATCTTAAGTAATTGCCATCTTTCTTTGATCCACTCTATGGCTTATTTTTTTTCTTTTGTTATATACGCTTTAAAATACGATTTCTTTTTTCCGTATGATTGATTCGCTTTCCTAAATTTTACAGTGTATTTACAAATGCTATACAAAACATCTGATATTGTTGCGTTTATTGATGTATGGATAAAATTAAATTTTACTCCGCGAAGTTGTAATAGCTATTCCAACGCGAGTTTTTACTGTTTATTTTTTTAATCGTAATACTATATTTATATTGAAGTTCATATGATTTACTGAGAGACATTTAAATCGATTGGCATTTTAATCCTCGTTTAATACATGATCTAAGGTTATTTCTAAGCTTACGAAAGTGGAGAAAGGTTATTGCCTTAATTGACCACGTATCGTTAACAGATCTGTTCGTAATTTTCCGTTATCTTTCAACAAGAAATAATAATGCCTAAATCATGGGTTCCAAATGATGAATTAAGGAATGAATAGTACGAATTATGTATTTTAAAAAAATAGGCTCAAATATTAAAACACATGAGTGAAAATAACCATATTATTCGGTATTGGTAATAGTTTCTATTAATGATAATTGATTATTATTCCAGATAAATGTTAAAGATTTCTCCAGTTAAAATTAAATAATTGAGTAATATTAGTTTGTTGAGAAAGAAAAATTGTTAATATTTGATATCTTTATGGAAAAATTAAATAGAACTTGTATTAAATTCCTGCTGTTTGTTTACAAAGAATGTATTATATAATTATCATATTTTTTATGTTAATGTAATAACGTAATTTTTAGTTTAATTTATGAAAATTATGGCTTTATGAATTAAAAATATAGCTGTTGCCTTTATTAAATAATTAAAAACTGTTAAAAAAAGAATCTGAGATTAATAGCATGTTGACAAGTATTTTTTTATTACTTAAATTGGGATATAAACTCATTTCAATTATATAACTCTGAAACTATATCAAGTGTACTTATTACTACTAAAGTTTTGTGGCTTTTCATAAATATACATATTTGTAGTTTACAAATTTTTTAAAATTTATGCTAAATTATGTCCAGTTTTAAAGAAGTACTATTATTAAAATTGTCCCGTACATAAAAATAAAATTAAAAAGAAAGTTCACTAATTCACTAATACATAGCGAGCTTCTTGAATTAGAATTCTTAAGTAATTTGTGCATTTTAATTCATCAAATGTAAATTTTTTTTGGTACTTTTCAATTATGCACCTGTTATGCATTTTATCTTGTGTATGCGTAATGGAAAAGTACATGTGCCACCTATAAACTATTTTTATAACTAGAAATTATATAGAATTAAAAAAAAAAAAAAATCTACCAAAATGCATGGCAGGTATCTCCCTCCCCCATCTTTAATTTTTCAAATTAATTTTTTTAAGGTGAAAAAGTGTCATGTGTAACAATCTTCTATGAGAATTCCATGGACATTATTACATTACCTTCACTGTGTGATTACAGAGGTTATTAAATTATCCCACCCCTTTTTCTTTTGTGAGATTCATTCTGAAGAGTTAGTTATTATTATTTGCAAAATGTGTTTTCTGTAATCTTATCCTATAATTTCAGTTACTGAGCATTAGAAAGATATGTATGCATTCTTTCTTAAATTTACCTCTGCAGTTTTTTATTTTTCATTTATTTTTTAAACCCCAGTATTCTACTAATAGGCAAAGATTTTATTCTGATTGGTTATCATTTGTTTCAAATAAAAAATATTAAGGTTTTTCTAAAATAAGCTTTTATTTAAAACTCATAAAATAATTAACTAACTAAAGGGAGAAAAGTCATTCATCATACAGTTTAATGGGAACAAGATATTAAATAATTCTGTTTAAGAAATTCATCTAAAGTTCTAAATCAGGAATAATAAAGTGTGAAGAACCTTTTATAAATTAGTAAAGGGCTCTAGTGTAGAATTTGGTGCCCCTTCGATTAGCGACAATTTTTTTGTAAAATTTTGCGAGAATCTTATTTCTGGTTACCATGATAGTGTAATTGCTTCGCCCCCTGAATTTTTTAAATAAAATAGATTGAGTGTATATGGACAATTTAACCGTGAAAGCCTAGTTTGTCAATTCTGGATTTTTTTAAGTAAAAAGATCGAGGTGTACATGGGCCAGAGTATTAATTCTGTTGATTTTTATTGTGGTTTGTGTAGAGGCCATCTGAATTGTTTTCCTGGCACGATATTGCGTCAAAAACGAATCGCAAAAAAACAAGGGGACCCAATCGTAAAATTTACCTAGTAAAGAGCGTGGTTATACTTGACAACATAATAGTAATTTTATTGTGGGTTGCGGATTGGTACGTTTGGGACGATCTGAGAGTAGTAAACGGGACAGATTTGATGGTAGTCAATAGTATTCAAGAATATAGTATATTAGTTATACTAGTTATATGGTTTGTGGATAGTAAGACAGAGACGTTTATGGGTCATTTTTGGCGTTGGCAATAATTTTCAAAATCGTGCCAAGGCTGCACCGTATACTAGGATTTTACCGATAATTAAATTAATAGGATTAGTTTTTAGCTGTCCATGCATTTTGCATAATTTACAAGAATTTTGTAAAGAGGCTTATTTAATCAGTTGTTCCCATTAAACTGTAGAACCTATTTTTCTTCTTTTAGTTCATTTATTATTTATGAGTTTTAAATAAAAGCTCATTTTATAAAATCTTTTTTATCTTTTTAATTTCACTGACATGTTCAATCATAGTATTCAATTGAAAAATCTTTTTTTTTTCCCAATGACTAATCATTGTTTTACTTCCAACAATTGTGTTATGTCAGATGCTGTAAAATACAGCAGTTTTGCCAGAAAATTGAAATTACACTAAAAATGTCATAAAATCTTCATTTAAAGTATTTTTGCTTCAATCTATCTGATTGTGCAGATACAGTCAAAAGTCGTTAATTCAGACACCCATAATCCGGAATAATCTATAATCTGGACCTCAAAGCTTCAAACTTTCTGCGCAGCGCGTTAAGCCTTTACGGCTGAGAAATATCTTGTGCGCGTGCGAAAATCGTTTACGAGTGTGTGCGCGTTAATGTATTATAAACGGACGGATAAGCTAGCTAAAATTAGTTAATTATCTATTTCGTAATGTTGCAATTGGTGTTCTTAATCTTCGAATTGGATCCGGCTTATTATTTTTTGCAGACTTAGACCATTTTTATAAAATAAGCTTGAATTTCGATTATGTCAAAGAATTTTGAATATATTCTTAATATTGATCTACAAAGCGCAAGTATGTTTCGATTCATTAAACAAAAAGTGGAATTGCTGCAAAAAATGGATTAAGGCATATCCTTGTTTATCTAAACTTAATTGTTTTTCTAAACTAGTTATCTTAACACCGTGGGCGCAATGAGTTGAAGTTGAATCTGTCCAGCACTATAATTATTTCGGCGATTTTTTATTTATTTGGCTTATAATCCTTATTAATTTAGTAGTTCACTCGATTGTACTCCTCTTGTATGATTAATCAAATTCCTCGTCATATAATCGCTTCCGATAGCGAAGAAGAAAGGAAAGAGGTATTGAAACGAAAAAAATTTCAATTGACAAATAGTCGTATTTCGACACAGCCAATATAGGATTGAACAGCGGAATTTTGTAACCTGAACAGAAAGTATGTCTGTTTAGGATTAAGAGAATATATAAATAAAAAATGAAGCAACTTCAACAATTTACATTAAAGAAAAATGTTATAAAGTAAAAAATAAATATTAAGCAATTTTTTTTTTTTTTTTTTTTTTTTTTTGTAAATTTTCTACCTTAGATCATGTTGTCGTTATTTCAGAAATTACGGTTTCATATTTTTAATTTATAATTTGAATGCCATCTTACCGATTTAAACTGATGATATAGAAACCGGGAATAGGGAAAAAAATGTCGAGAATCCGGTAAACGGAACTCTAGTCCGACGAGTCCGGATTAACGACTTTTGACTGTATTAAAATTCTGAAAGTTTGAATTAGTTTGCTAAATGAAGATATGTGAAAAAATTATTTCAGTATTAAATTTTTAAAGAATTTAAATCGAATTTTA